GAAGGCTGCATGGAGACCTCATAGCAGCCTTCCAGTATCTGAAGGGGGCCTATAGGGATGCTGGGGAGGGACTCTTCCTTAGGGACTGTAGTGATAGGACAAGGGGTAATGGGTTAAAACTTAAACAGGGGAAGTTTAGATATAAGGAAGAAGTTCTTTACTGTGAGGGTGGTGAGGCACTCGAATGGGTTGCCCAAGGAAGTTGTGAATGCTCCATCCCTGGCAGTGTTCAAGGCCAGGTTGGACAAAGCCTTGAGTGACATGGTTTAGTGTGAGGTGTCCCTGTCCATGGCAGGAGTGTTGGAACTTGATGATCTTGAGGTCCTTTCCAATCCTAACTATTCTATGATTCTATAAAACCTGGACATTTGGAACAAATGACCACAGGTATATTTTGGATCTAGCAATAATACAAGCTGTGTCTTGCCAGTACAAATTAACTTTCTTATTGGATTTCAATGTGCCATTCAGTGGCATATTTCAGACACATAAGGGAAACAAATTTTCTCAAGTAATGTATAACATTAGATCCTTTTATCACTGACAGTTTCAAAGTTACTTGTTCCACAATGTAGTCTGCTTAAAAGCTTATTTACCAGCAACTTTTTCTTCAACTTTATATTAAGCCAGCTAAATAACTACAGTTAAACAGTAATAAATCATTCAGCTGTCATCAGCTAGAGTTGGTCAGACACTTTCAGGATTACTTCATGTAAAATAAGACATCTTGTAAATAAGAAACATTCTAGGTTCAAATCAGAAATGCATAAAACCGCACCACCAGACACTGGTCAACACCCTGTTTCTCAATTGTAACATGTAAACACTCTTGTAATTTGTAGCTTCAGTCACTCATCTCATTGCTATATCCATAAGAAATCAATTTGATAATTTTCAGTGCCCACTTGTCCACCAACCCCATTACATCAGCTATTTTCTCCAGACCATAAATGTGTAGGTAGTTCCAGTTTCTATTATTAGCCATGAATGAGTTTGCCTGCTTGTTGAATTCACACTAGTTTAATATTCATTTGTGGCTCAAATAATATTTTGAGTATCAGTGTTTAAGATATCTACTTATTCAAAGCAACTACTAAATAAACATTGGAAGGAAAGCAACCAGATGCTGTCCCCTAAACTGATACAATCTATTTTTGACAGTATACAAATACACATACCAAATATAGGCATAAAGTTACTTTCCTGAATGTCTGGCAAGATGCTTCATGTTTTATAGTTACAGATTTTTCAGGACACTAAAATTTGTTTTGCCATGAATAAAGTATTTTCAAAAAGGATTTTGATCACAGGATATAACAATGGCCTGCTTCAAACTAACTGCTCCCCAGCATGAGCTTAGATTCTTTGTAAAAATTTCTTCCTTCAAAAATCTCTAAGTTCAGTGTTGATAATTTCAACTTCACCCAAATCCAAGAGCTACAGGAAAACAAAGCAAAATGAATTCATTTAAAAACAAAACTGAAGGAATTTCAGTTAAGCCCATACTGTCTTCTCTGTGAAAATACGGTTTTAATTATCCCTATCTATCTTTACATGCTGCATTTGAATATTCCCTAACCACCAAAACTCCTGGGTTTTTTTGAGTGGTGGTGTGGTTTAAAATCCAAAAAGCTTGCTCCTGAAGCCATTAAAGATTCCTGAAAATCTTACTTATTTTTCCTCAACATACCTACAGCTCCCATATAAACTGCTCTTTGTGGCTTCTGTTGACAGTACAATTCCAGATAACTGATTAGAAGTCTTCAACATTTAGAGTACAATAAGCACGCCTATACAAATAGTATAGATGGAAAGAAAATGAGTACTTGCAATGAAAAATTGTGATGTTAGAAGTACCGGAATAAAGTAATTCTTGATTTTAACTTCAGCTAAAACAAAATACAAGAAACTCAACCCAATCTGCATGACGTTTTGAAGAAAACAAATGTATAACACAATAGCACAGCAGAGAAATACAGACTCTAAACCTTGATTTATATTAAAGAAACTACAAATGACAAGTTAAAATAACTATGGAAGTAAACAATGTTAACACACCTGGTTATATTCCCAAAATATAGTTTTATACGGCTTTTTTTAATATCTACCATCGCACAGTGGACTCCAAATGCCTACTGGCCTGCATTCACTGTAGTGAATGAGCTAGAACTAAAGTACTCTAAAAAGTTTCAGTTCAGACATTGTCTAGCAATTACATTCAGAAAATCTCTAAAACGTTTTTAAAGAGGTATTAGATTTCAAACTCTTACTCTACAAAAAAACCTGCCATTTACATCTCTTCTCAAATTAAGAGGCTTGTAGCTAAGTAACAAATTTAACAGATAACACAACAGATTCCTAGAATGCCAGCAATGAGCTGAAGCCTCATACTGGAACTGTGGAATACAAAACTGCATATAATCTACAATTACTATAATTTAAAGGTGGGTTTTGTTGTTTTCCTAGTTTTTTTTGTTTGTTTGTTTGTTTGTTTTAAGATATAATATATAATTCTCTCTTAGAATCTCATAGAATGATTATGGTTGGAAAGGACTTTAAGATCATCCGGTTCCAAACCCCCTGCCAATGGGCAAGAATGCCTCACACTAGACCATGTTGTCCAAGGCTCTGTCCAACCTGGCCTTGAATACTGCCAGGGATGAAGCATGTACTACTTCTTCAGGAAACCTGCTCCAGTGCCTCACCACCCTCACAGTACACTCTCATACACTTTACTCTGAGCAAAGAAAACAAACTAAAGTTTCCAAATTTAACTCCACTTTCACATTGTCTAGCATTATCAAACTGTTGCAATGTTTAAGGTGCAGCCATTAAGAAAAAGTGTTTAATAAAGTTTTTTTTATGTTTCACTGTTTTTTTAAAAATTTCAAGAATGTATTATGAGTTGTACTAGAGAAGCTTTGAAACTTAATTACCTACAACAGTTCAGAGTCTAATTTTGTTTGAAATAATATCCTCTTAAAATTGCTTCACTAAGGATTTTCTAGGGATTTCCAACATTGGCTTTATACATTTAGCATGTATGTATGCATACATACAATGGAAAAATAGATCTTAAATAGGCATACTTATAAGCATTTAATATATATTAAAAGACAATTGCTTGAAGAAAATACAAAGTAAAACTTTTCAGTGCAACAGTCTAGTTGCCAGACTGTCTGGTTAAATCATGTAAAATCTTTCTGTCTAGTTCTTTTTACTTTTCAATGAAAAAGACCCCAATGTTGTCTCTAAATGAATTTGCACAGTGAAACTGCACCTAGAAACCCTTAAAATTATTAAAAACCTCCAACATTAATGACATGGAAGAAAGTATGTATTGCTATTTTACTGATACTTGAGTCAAATTGTATAGGTGGAAGAAAGAAGAAATCTCAAAATGCTGAATAGGAATTTTCTCCAGCTACTACTTAGCTTTTGCTAGTGTTAAACACCTCACAGAGAATGCTTTCCAAGCAGATACTGAGCAGAACCATTCAAAGAAACCGCCTTCAGCTGCAAGGCCAGGTCTGAAAAAGGGTACCAATAAGAAAGAATTTCATATTGTTTTTTGTTTTCCTTCAGTATGGAATAGTTACATTGGGACCTTTTTTTAAGAGAAACGAATCAAAATTAGCACTACTTTGTAAAGTTCTTGCAGCACAATTACACAGAAAGAGGAATCAGTACCAACAAATCTGATAAACTTCCAAGCACCAATTCTGCAGGTAGCCTGAGGAAGAGCCACTTGAGTGTAGTTTGTGGATATACGTTTAGCAGCCTTAGTCAGATTTTTTTGTGGCAGGAAATTAAGCTGCTCTGGACAGATTCTTTAGCCTAAAAAGCAGACCATCTCATGATGTTTCTATAGGACATGACTCTAGAATTAAGTTGATTGATATATCCTTCATAATGCTTACAGTTATTAGCTATACAAATAATGTATACACATATCCTTAGGAAAAGAAAGTGAAAAAAAAACCAACTTAAGAAAACTAATAAGCAGTAAGATGCAGGCAAAAAGCCAAAAAATAATTTTAATCCAGACTTGATCATTGGTCCATGGAGATTAATATCCCACATTCAGAATGTTTAAAACGTTGAACAGCCTATTAACTGCACCGCCTTGAAACTTTTACATGAAAGAGGATCAAAATTTCTCTGAATCTCTTTGAAACTCCAACAATAGCTACCAATGAAACACTTGTCTAGTTTATTTAATATAATTAATTATCTCAGACATCTCTTAGTGCTCATTTTATTTGTATTACTTGCTACTTACTGATAAAAAGAACTGCTATCTATTTTCCTGACTGGTTTTATATTTAGTTAGACAAAACTTTTACAAGGCAAAACCACCTAAAACTGTTTCGGTGCTTACCCAATGCTCTCACTTTTTTTTTTTTTTTTGCATCCAAACTGAGCTCAATACTAAGTTAAGAAATTTAGCTTTACCTTAATGTAGAAAAAAAAATTGCATAAAACTTTATCTTGCAGAAACATCCACTGGGGATGATCCACTATAAAGCTAACAAAAAATCTACCCCATTTGGTAACTTGTCCAGAAAGGACAGACATCTTTTCAGGTTACTTCACTAGCTTTCCAACAAAAACAGTTTGAGCTGGCTTATGAACCTCCTTTACAATGTCAGGTTGGCCCAGACTCTAACACCACAAGTTGCCAGAAAGCTGGTTTCCATGGTTGTATGTATTGTCTCTGAATGTCATTCGCAAAACACAGAATCATAGAATAGTTAGGGTTGGAAACGACCTTAAGATCATCTAGTTCCAACCCTCTGCTGTACGCAGGGATACCACACACTAACCTATGTCACCCAAGACTCCATCCAACCTGGCCTTGAACACTGCTAGAACATTTCAAGGAAAATGAGATTCAGATTTTTTTTAAACTGATAGCGCATAGAGAATGATATACAAAGGGATTTGGTGATTCTCCAAGAAAAGAAAGCTTAACAAAGAATATGTCCAGTTAAACTGACCTGTTGGAGTCTTCTTCTTTTTCTTAACCCACCATTGTTCTTATTCTTTTGTTCATTAAACTTCCTGCAACAGCCATCAGTAGCAGGACACTCTGAAACTTGATTTTCATCACCTAGAAACCAAATTTAGAAACTTAAAATGAAAAATGTAATCTTGTGAAATGAAACTGCTACCAACTATTTTTATCATAGCACATAGAGCTATGTACAATTAAGACACCTAAGTTAATAATATGTACCAGCTATTTTTCCACTGTATTTCAGTTACAGAAAAAAGAATAACATTCAAGCATCATTAATCTTTCAGTATTTGATCCTGTAAATAAACTAGTTGCAAAACTCCCTATTTCCAGTATTTTGAAAATTATGTATTAACTACAAGTAAAGAATTGGCTAAGCTGTTTTATAATTATTACAAAATTTGCAATTTTGTAATAATTATAAATCTTAATCCCTGAGGTAAGAGAACGACAATAAATCACAACACAAAAAATGATGAGAACATTTTCCATTACTGATTTCTTATTTTAAAATTATAAACTTTAAACTAGTCAAAATTTAATCAGTTCTTCATACTAACGTTGCAAGTTTAATGTCAATTTACACAGTATTACAGTGATTTTTGTGTAATACAAGTATCCTGGCTTTTGGTACAATTGTTAATTTAAACTCAGTATTTAAACACAAAATGCCTTTTAACAAAGGGAGAGCTAAATACTTAGTTTTATTCAGTATTGCACTGAGACCCATCATCTTCAATCACTGAGGAGGACTACTGGCAATTAGAAAATATTTTGTTACACAATTAAAAAAAGAAGAAAAAAAAAGCTAAGAAATGTAACTCCTTTTACATGGAAAACAGGATTTTTTTGAACATGTATTTTGAATTAAAAATAAAAAAAAATACCCAACCAAAAAACTCTGAAGTATGTCAGGAGATAATCTATTCCATTGCTTTACCCTAAGCGGATTAGGGTGAAGCAAGGTATGCCTCTGTTCATTTCTAGTAATTTATTTCAGTCACTGTAGAAGGACGGACCACTATTAGGTTATATTTTAGTGGGGCAGCTTGGCTGGGGGGAGGCAGTGAGAAGTGGTGTAACATTCCTTTTGCCATTCTAAGCCTGAATCCTTGAGCTCTGCAGCTCTTGTCCCACTTGGGATTAAAGTCTCAAGACTTGTATGTTTGGACCTCTTTCTAGTTAGGGCTCATTCTCATAATATTTTTCATATTTACAGCAAAGCAGGAAGAGGGGACCATGTCCATCATCTCTGATTATCAGCTTGGAGATATTATGCATTACATAAATAAGGCTTATTCTTCACAATCCAGTTCCTATTACTTCTCTCCGGACTATGAGTACTTCTCAAGCACTTGCCAGCTTTTCCATCCTGTAGGTCTCAAGTTTCACTGTCTATTACATATTTTTCCATGATTTTTTTTTTTTTTTTTAAAGCAGTTTCTCAGTAGCAAGTAAAAAATTTCATCTTTAGTAGCTTTTCCTAGGGTATTTCAGATAAAGTGGACAGAACTTACTGAAGCAATTCCATCCAGTTAGCTACCCCTAAATTTAGTTCAAATTTGCAGGTAACTCTTGCCACTGCGGTCCATTACATCCTGTAGATTCTCTTCTAAAACATCGCTCAATTACAGGTATCAAACTCAACAAATCTAATATGCTATAATACTCCATATGGCTATCAGAGTGACTTTAATTTGCAATTTAAGCGTCTATTCATTCATGAGCATTTATCACCAGTGAGATTCGAACCAGAATATTACCTTGAAAATTCCATTCCATATTTCAAGTCAAAAGACAAAGTAATGATTAGTTACTGAGCATGATTAGAACAGTGAGCTAGTTTTGTTCAAATCAAATCAATAATGCTTATCTAATCATAGTGTTCTACTTTAAGATAATGACGAGTCACTGAAACGAAACTGTATCTTATCTACTATTCTGTAATTATCCCAGTTATTTACCTCAACTATGAAGAAAGTAAATCTGAATTTGTTGTCATAAGTAACACTTCAGTTACTAATAATTGACAATTTCTGAACATGAGGCAGCTTGTGCCCAGGCAGCCAAGAAGGCCAAGAGCAGCCTGGCCTGTATCAGAAAGGGTATAGCCAGCAGGGCCAGGGCAGTACATCTGCCTGTGCTCAGCGCTGGTAAGGCCACACTTCAAATCCTGTGTTCAGTTCTGCATCCCTCGCTACATGAAAGACATTGAGGTGCTGGACTGGGCCCACAGAAGGGCAGCAAAGCTGGTAAAGCATCTGGAGAACAAGTCTGATGAGGAATGACTGAGGGAACTGGAGCTGCTTAGTCTAGAGAAGGTTCAGGAGGGACCTTATCACTCTCTACAACTACCTGAAAGGAGACTGTAATGAGGTGGGGGTCAGTATCTTCTCCCAGGTAACAAGCAACAGGACAAGAAGTAACGGCCTCAAGCTGTGGCAGTGGAGGTTTAGTTAATTTTAGTAAAAATTTCTTCACAGAGAGGGTGATCAGGCATTGGAACAGGTTTCCCAGGGAAGCAGTGGAATCAACATCTCTGGAAGTGTTCAAAAATCATGTAGATGAGGCCCTCGGGGACATGGTTTAGTAGTGATCATGGCAGTCCTGGGGTAATGGCTGGACTTGATCCTAAAGGTCTTTTCCAATCTAGTTGATTCTATGATTCCAATATTCATGGATAGAATATTTAATGACTTGTGTTATTGTAGTTGTTATTCCAGCATGGGCAAATACCAAGTTTTGTGCTATTCAGAACAAAAAAAATTTCTTGAAGTCATCTATGTGCCCACCAGGTCTTCAAACAGAACCTGCTAATGGTTTAGAACAATTTATCTAGCTTATGTGCTCTAGGACAACTGACATCAAGTTCTGTAAATTTAACTAGATCTGAACAATTCTCAACTTGTTCCTCTATTAAAAACTATTTGTCCTTTTTTGTTTGAATAATCTCTCATGTGTTTCTTAAAAGGACATAATAAGTGAGGTATCCCTGCCCACAGCACAGGGGGTGGAAGTAGATAATCCTAAGGTCCTTTCCAACCCTAACTAGTCTATGATTCTATAATAAAATGTCAATACAAGATATAATACAGTGTTTTTAGTAAGCTTGTCTCCTTCCAAAACTGAAGCAAAAACCCCAAAGGCACATGAAATCTAAGGAAGCTTTCACATGTATGTTTTTAAAGACATAAACATACAAAAAATTTTTAGCAGCATTAAGCACCTCACACTTAAAACTTGATTAAAAACTTGTTCATCTAAATTAAACGTCAGTTAAGTGTCATAATTTTTGCACCAAATAACAGAATGATATTCCAGATTCCCCCTCTTAACACTGATCTACATTAATTACCTAAAACCTAATAGATGCTAGGTTATGTTTTTTGGACAGCTAACATATTTTTTTCTCAAATTCACTGTAAATACCTAAAATTCACTCAGCTAAGCCCTAAATTAATTTTTAAGATTGGAAACAATGCTAAGTCCACGTTAAAATTTTTTAATTATTTTAGGATAAAAGCTTAAGAGTATACTCCTGAGTATACTCTTATATAAAAGAGTATACTCCTATTGCCCAATATTATTTATTGTTGCAGCTTTCAGATGAAAGGTCACATGAATTCATCAAATCTGAGCAAGTATTAGCGTTCTATGCAGTTAAAATGCCAAAGTAAAGCAATTTACAAGAATGACAAAGATGTTAGACTCTTCTAGCATAGATAATTAACTTTCACAAAAGACTTTGCATTTCTATAAACTTACACTTATGATAGAGAAAAGCCACGGTTTTCCTCGCTTTGTAACTGCTAAAAATTTAGGCACTGATTCTATGATTGACGCACAAACCCCAACTACACACCACTTATTGATTACAGAGCTCTGAAGTTTATCAGGTATGACTGATTTAATCAGGATAGAAAATTTATTTAATCTCCAGAAACAAAACTGAGAAAGAAAAAGTGAATTTGAATAGGAAAGCATCTTTTAATATTCTGATAAAGCCTAATTAATGTCAGCTCTTGCATCTGTGACAGTTCTTTACTTGATTTATGCCTTGAAGAAAGATAAAGTAGCCATGTTTATGCCTGTGCTGTTCAGCAGAACTGGGCAGCCCTGAGCACACCCTACAAGGGAGCATGAAGCCTGCATGTTACACTTCTATAAAAACAAGTGTTCTTAGTCTGTAGAAATAAAGCTTATCAAATCTTACTTCTTGTCATTAAAGACACTGATCTAAAATCACAAAAAAAGGCAAGAAAAATGTTTGATCTTTAAAAACATATACAGACATAATTTTATACAGATATTTTGTTATTCCTAACTAGATATGAGTGAAAAGAAATATTCAGCTTTTGAAAATATACTGTATTCACCAGTTTTCAAATCACAGTATTTAATAAAAATCAATTATTTCATTATACAGTGTCACAGTAGTAAGTTTAAAACAACATTTTAACGTTCTTCCACAGAACTTGCATTATTAGGGAAAATACAACTCATCTTTCACTATTTATTATTCCATTTTAAGCGAGCTCATTTGAGCTGTCAAATTTGAGTTGAACTTTATTTGAGGTGGTACTTGACTACACAGCAGATGCACAAAATTAAAAATATTATACTTGGGAAAATGGCCATCACAGATAAATTACAACTACTATTAAAATCATTAGAAACACAAACTGACACGTACAGAAGTTCCTAATAAAAAAGGACATAAAGTATAAATATTGGGTAAATTGTTTGCTGAATACAGATCCTTTTTCTTCTCCTCCACAATCTGTTATCTTAAACAAGTTGTCCAGCAAGAAAATAAAAGCATAATATGCTAGAACATTGATCATAATTTAATCACTGGGATTTAAAAGTTAAACACTAAAATTAAATGGCACACCCAAGTTTAAAAGGAGAGAATATCTTCTCCTTTCCCATTTGTTTTCATGATTATTTAATCAAAACCAGACTGGGTCTGACATTAAGAAATACATAATGTAAACATCATCCTCTAGTACATTGCCACATGATGAAAAATATACCACATACAGCAGGGTCATATATTTATGGGTATACATTTATGCCTGTATAACATACACCTGTATGAACTTCTCTTTTTTAAGAAAAAGTCTGTGTTATAACAATGCACTCCAGGCATTAAAGTACAGGCGTAGTGAACCCAAAATTGCAGCTCACTTATTACCCACAGGTACAGGCAAGGTCACTGTTCAACATTTCCACTGGAAGATTCTCTGAGACCAAGTTTGCTTAGTGTAATTATTAATTTTATATAATTAATTGATGCATTGCTGCAGAACTTTCTGTTGAAAACAACTAACGAAAAAATGCAATTATAATTAGAAATATTTAGCCCTGCATAAAGCTTAACAGAGCTCAAAATATCAAGATGTAAAAATGATTACTCCAATGCAAGTTAAAAGAATTTTCCAGTGAAGTTCCTGAGATTAAATATCCCATTATACTTTTAAATTGAATTAACTTAGCCTAAATCAACTTGAAAAGGCTGAAATATAAAAAAAACTATCAAAATTATTGTGATAAACTGAGATCAGTATCATATAAATAAGCCATGATTGAAAAAGACACTTAAATTACAACTCTTGTTCATGCTCTCAAATGTCTTATTCTACCTTCATCATAGCACAAGATAGAAATTGCTAACTCCACTATTTTTCCACTAGACATTTTATGCTCTTAACTGCAATTAAGCAGCAATTTTAACATGTGAAATAAAAATTACTTGAACAAGGGACCATATGATGTTATTAATAAAAATTTACAAGAACACCATAACATTTATAACAGAAAGGCTTTGATTTCTTAAACAGATTTTGAATAGCAGCAGAAAGCTTACAGAATAGCAAGCATTAGGGGAAAAGACAGTTCATATTACTTCTGTTATATTTTGTGAGCACACTTTCCTTATCTGTTGGTGACTTCTGTGTTTGTAGTGCACATAAGAACAAATGGGTGTTCTTTTGGATTCTATGCACTCATTTGTTTTACTGAAAAATAAAGTCAAGTACTGGAGCATTTTCTTCTTTTGGTGTAATTCTGAAATATTCTTCCCTTGGGAATGGCAGTTCATTTTTTGCAATTTAGCTACATAAGTGTATCCATGCATGTATGCCGTAAGATATTTTTTCATTTTCTAGCTCTATGTAGTGACTTACCATTAGTGTAAGTACTGCAATTCATATTGGTTGTGTAGGATTTTTCATAAGCATGCTGAGGCAGCCTATTCACATCATCAGAATCTAGAGCTTCTGCAGTGTCATCTTTTTCACCAGGTGACATATAATTTAATGGCACACTTCCAGAATTCTCAGCTGGTTTTAAGTTTTCCTTTACTGAAAGATCATTTGTGGAAATAGACCTTTTCCCACTTTCCTTGGAAGTACTACGTGGCTTACAGAAACTCAAACCAAGCGAGTCCATGCTTGCAAAAGAGTCTTTGCAAGAAATTTCAGGAGGATTCTGTGACTCCTTTGGTACTTGTATCTGTACTTCATTTTTGTTCAAGTTAAATGATGAAAAGAAGTCTTCATAAGAATCCTCTTCATAAGAAGCCTCTTCAGAGCTAAAAGACTTGCTACCTGTACTACCTGCTTGCCAGAAGTCTTTAGACCCTGATGCACCCAGTTCTGAGGTAGCCAGTTTCAAACTAGGTAGTATTTCTAATTTTTTCCTCTTCTTGTCTTTAAGGATACAATTGTTTCTGTAAACAGGGAAGCGTCTATCCAGTGAACACTTACTTAAGTTTATGCTGCTCATAGGTGCATTAGAGAGACTGTCAATCACAGCAGCAACATTACTTAACTTGGCCATTTTTTTGGAAGGAGAAAGATGACCCAAGCCCTTTATTTTGATAAGAGTACTTTCATTTGCAACTGAAGTAGTCTTGCTATTTTCATCCTGATTTTTATTCAGGAACTTTTCTGTATCTTTCTTTTCTAAAGGCATTTTATCATCCAAAGTATGCTGAAAAAGCTGCTTTTTTCTTAAGCTGCTTTTGCTACGTTGTTTTGGTGTTAAGCAAGTCTGCTCATAGCTTTGTGAGGGAGAATTCACTGACACAATCATGGCTATAGGATTATCAGTCCAACTATCACAGGCAGGTTTTACTACCTCTGTTTTCTGTCTCTTTAATTTATCAGCTCCCCAAAGACAATCAAAGCTTGAGTTCAAGCAGTCTTCCATTTGTTCTCCTGCAAAATATGAAAAGTGGCAACATAAATTTATTTAATAAAACAGAAAGTGTACCAATTTCTTAGTAAAATACACATGAAATTACTGAAAAAAGAAAAACAAGGACTTGGCAAGTTCTCTGGATATTATATTGCAAGTCATCAAAAACTAAACAGAAAATGGATTAAAACTAAATTATGTTCTATGTTAACAAGAAGCTACAATAGCTTTAGCTATCATACCTTCTTACACGGCAATAGGTAAACAAGCCCTGTTCTACTGTCTTGAAACAAAGCAGCAGAGGAACTCTTTCACTCTTGCATTTGTGGAAAAAAAGAAAAACAAACAGCAAGACCATAAAAACCTAGCTAGATTAATATTGGAAAGCGAAAAATCTTTTTTACTACGAGAGCAGTACTTACCACTAATTATTTTTGCAGGATGAAGTCAAATACAACATCATACTATCATACCATGTACATCAACACAATGTATTAAGAATAATTACAACGTGGAAAAAATGTATCATTTCTTATAGCCATTCTTAAGAAGATTTTGGGGGGAGGTGAAACACAGAATCTATTAAGAGAATCATAGAACAGTTAGGGTTGGAAAGGACCTTGAGATCATCTAGTTCCAACATCCCTGTCATGGGCAGCGACACCTCACACTAAACCATGTCATCAAAGGCTTTGTCCAACCTGGCCTTGAACACTGCCAGGGATGGAGCATTCACAACCTCCCTGGGCAACACATTCCAGTGCCTTACCACCCTCACAGTAAAGAACTTCCTCTTTATATCCAATCCAAACTTCCCCTGTTTAAGTTTTAACCCATAACCCCTTCATGTGCCTTAGCATGCCTTCCAGGAGAATCTGCTCCAAGATTTTGCCAGGCACAGAGGTGAGACTGACTGGTCTGTAGTTCCCCGGGTCATCCATTTTCCTCTTCTTGAGAATGGGGGTTATATTTCCCTTTTTCCAGTCATCGGGAACTTCACCTGACAGCCATGATTTTTCAAATATGATGGCCAGTGGCTTAGCAACTTCATTTGCCAGCTCCTTCAGGACCCGTGGATGGATTTCATCGGGTCCCATGGACTTGTGCATGTTCAGGTTCTTAAGATGGTCTCAAACCAGATCCTCTCCTACAGTGGGCGCAAGGTCTTCATTCTTACAGTCGCTGCATCTGCCTTCCAAGACTTGGGTGGTGTGGTCAGAGCATTTGCCAGTGAAGACTGAGGCAAAGAAGTCATTCCGGCAGTCTGTAGCAGATCCCCCACAGTAATGTCCCCCATAGCTGTTATCCCTTTAACCCTGACCCACAAACTCTCTGTTGACTGATCACCTATCCCCAGACAGAATTCCATATTCTCCAGCCTATCCCTAACATAAAGGGCAACTCCCCCACCCCACCTGCCAGGCCTGTCTTTTCTAAAGAGCTTTTAACCTTCCATTCCAACACTCCAGTCATAGGAGCCATCCCACATGTTTCCATGATACCTATCATATCATATCCCCATAGATGTGCACACATCTCTAATTCCTCTTGTTTGTTCCCTATACTATGGGTGTTTGTATAGAGGCATTGAGCCGAGCTCCAAATGAAGCCAGCTCATTGGCTGGAGCTGCTGAAATAGCTCTACATTGCTTCTAGCATTTATTATAGGTGCTGGCATTGACTGGGTGTGTTGGCATGGAATGATGCCCCCCTCCCCCAACACATTTAGTTTAAAACCTTCTTGGCCAGCCTGGCAAGCCTCCTACCAAAAGACCAGCTCCACCAGCCTCCAGTAGACCTGGCCTCCCAAATCGAGTCCCATGTTCTAAAAAAAACCCCAAGCCCCTGACTACGGCACCACTCTTCTAACCATTTATTAACCTGGCAAATTCGCCCAGCCTTTTTAAGGTCCCCCCCTTTATCCTGGAGAATGGATGAAAAGACAATCTGAGCTCCAGAGCCCCTAACCCCCTCTCCCAGGGCTCTGCAGTCCTTCTTAATGTTCTCCAGACTACTGCTATCTATATCCCTAGAACCCACATGGATCACTAGAAGTGGGTAATAGTCCATGGGACTTACTAGAGCAGGCAGCCTCTGCAACATCCCTGATCTGAGCCCCTGGTAGGTAACACACCTCCCCTTGAGACTGGGTCAGGCAATAGATGGGTGCCTCTGTTCCTTTCAAAGCAGTTCCCTACTACTATGACCCGCCGCTTTTTCCTGGCAGCACCAGTAGTGATCTTTACTAGTGCATCAGCCAGTTGTTCATGTTGCAGGGTGTGTGTTTCCTCATTAGTCCCCTGCAGAACTGTGAAGTGGTTCTGGGTGAGAACATCAGATTTAGGAGGAAGCCCCTTGCTTTTAATTGTCCTCTTCCTCCTTTTGTTGTTTTTCTTTTTGTTTTTTGTTACTAGTTCCCAGCTTCCTGAGTTAATGGCCTCCTTCTTTCCCCCATGAGCTACAATGGACCCTGAGGCCTCTGCACAGTTTGGCCCTGGAGCAAGCAGGTCCTGCTTCCTCTCAGCTTCCCTGATGCCTTTCATCCTATTGACAGTGTCCCGCAGCTCAGCCCCTGCTGCAGTAGGACTTCCACCAGGGAGCACTGAGTGCAGCCCTGCCCGTTGTGCACCCTCGCCTCAGGAGACCAGTGCAGGCACTCTCTACACTCAGAGCCCTGCGCTGTAGCTTCCCCTCTCATCGGTTCTGTATGGGTGCCTACACTGGCCACTGCCAGGGCAGCCAGAGCAGAGCTCCCAGACCAGGCCCTGCTCATATGGCGAGTGATCACCATCCCGCTCACCTGCCTGTGCTAGCTGCCACACAAACTGACTCACCTTGCTCCTGGTCCCTCTCACTCCTGGGGATTTGAACCACTCAGGGCTGGTGCCATCCCTCCTGAGCACCACCCCCTGTGAGTCAGCTGCTCGCATCAGCTGAGCTGCCAGCTCCTGGGCAAGTCCGGTTGAGGACTTGAGGCTCCCTCGGTGGCTCTTGCCACTTTGAACTGAGGCTCCTGGATGCTGGGCTTCCTCCGGCTCAGGTGTTGAAGGCGTCCTCTCTCCAGCTGCTAACCTCACCAATTAATAACTCTTATCTATAAATATATATATATAATTCTTCAATAAATTCCTCTGAAACAGGCTACTATCTCTAATTATCCAGAATACATTTTCAAAAGCCCTGCTGATAATTGCAATAGATGGTTTTGTTTAAATACACATTGAGTGCAAAGTTTCAGCAATACTTCTGTAAGTGCTCCTGTAGGTTTTAGGGAAAGTCTTGACGTTATTTGCTTACTAAATGTAAATAATATTTTTAAACATAGGCTGTAGCTAGCTAAATTAAGAAAAATAAAATATACAGAGATGAAAGAAGTTTCTCATGACATGATCAGACTCCCATATTGACAACTGAAAAAGTGTTAGCTTTGATCCTCAAACTGGATTCTTGAACTTTTTTAACCACTATTAACCAACATACTCTCAAGTATTTTGCAAGCACAAACAGAAGGGCCACTATCACACAGTACCACAGTTTGAAGCTACACCAAATATTGTCATGGGATGTGGAGGCCTGTTCTTATGTAAAATTACATTGTGCAGTTGCAATGCTGGAAGGACACATTCATGGTAAAGCTCTCAAAAAAAAAAAAAAAAATCACTGTTCAATGTCATCAGCACACAACTAATTTAGCAAAATAAAGTTTGTTGGCACAACTATGCTACTTCCAGTATTAAGCTATTACTTCTCCCTAACACTGCATGAACACATAACAAGATGTCTCAGGCTATAAGATAATGCCCCATGCTCTCCTTACTCTTCTACTGATACAAAACACCAGCATGTGACTTCAGCTTTTTGCTCATGTAACCAACAGAAGACATGAGGTCTGATGTACTTATCTCCTGTATACAAGATTAATGTTGTTAAGATGCCCACTGAAGTAGCTCAACAGCCTTCACAATAATCTTTGCCCTTATATTCTGGTAATATGCCAAAACAGAAGAACAAATCCCTAACTTCAAGAGAATAAGAACTTTGATAACAAATTACTTGAATTCACTTGTAACCATAAAACATTTTAAAGGCCGATTTATTTTGCTTTTGTTAACTTTTTTAATCTCTGACTTACTAAGCTGGAAAACATGTTACGTTTTCTTCTAAATTCAAGTTTTTCGATTGAATATTTTGAAGAGAAGTCAGTTCTTTGAGGTTTCTCCCTCATTCTCTTCTCTCTTTTGCTTCCCATTATCACTGTTTAGTGCCCACTCTGTATTCTATACAAGATCACTCTAAGAGCAGAGAAGGCTGACACCATGCCAGGTCAAGAAGCCATTAACAGGAAAGGGTGTGAAGAAAGAGGAGGAAGTGACAGAAGCATCACAGTCATAGGCAGAGCATTACCCAACGTGTTTCTTCATGCTTCATTTTCCTTGAATTCTTACTTGTACACACTTTGCCAGTTAAGAAAAACTAAAATAATTCAGCTTTAAATATAAATGATAGAGCAAACATACAGTTCCCATTTCAGTATGCCATACTTTACAAAATAAACAGGCCATGTATTATTTTTAATTTCTGTAATATATAAAGTTGCATTAGTTACCTGGTAACAATGCATCTTCTGAATTAGTTAAGACACAAGTAGGCAGCAGACAGTCTCCTGGTGAACTACTTGGAAGTATCTGAGGCATTTGTGAAGCTAGGAATTTGTAAATAATAAATGAGTTAGACCTACTTGCAAAGATATAGATTTTGGCACCATTGATTCACATTTCAAATCAGCTCAACTGTAAGACATAACTCATTGCTTTGCCAACTATAACCATGTAAGTAATTACACTCTTCAAGAGTATCCCAAATTTACACACTCAGAAAAAAAAGCTACTACATCTTCTACAATTTTAAGCAATTTCTTTTTCTAGATAACCATATTTCTATGATATTAAAGAATGACAGCAAACCTTTTAGAAAATATAAAACCTTTCTAAGGTAATTGAGGTATTTTACTACATAATCTGTCAAATTCTGCAATTAGTGGCAAAGCACTGACATAGCAGAAATGCATTTAAAAATGCTTGAAGGCATTACCTTAAAACTAAAAAACAAATAAAAGTCATGCCAAAATAATTTAATTTTTCATCCATGTATCACTGATTCTTTACTTTCCCCCTGCAACTATTTCTGAAATTATAAACTGACAGTCTAGTTGACATAGACTTCTTAAAACTTCAAATATTACCGATTCCCACCCGCTCAAAAGATGTTCCACATTTCAATACTTTTTATATTAACTGGCAAAATCTAATGGCTTAGACCTCAATGCTTTCACAGTAATGTAATGGAAACACTAAAAAATTATTTGAAAACTGCAATCTACATTTAATTCACCAGGATATGCATTTTGAAATAAATTAGATTTATCTGATTGGGTCATTCAATTTATTTTTTTAAATCCTGTTCTTCAGTACCTGGGCAGATGTCTCGTCAATTTTCAACTCCTTAATGAACTGTTGGCCTGGGACTAGTAACATTACAATCTTTGACAAGTACAGCACTCACATTAAAATTTAAAGGGAAATAAGAGTTTCACTGTAAAGTTTAACCAAGTTGTGGTAATATCAATTTACAAGTTTAGAAAGTCTAGCTTAACTTTAGTCCTCTTGAGGAGTCTAACCATTAAGAAATTCCTTTTCGCAATTATTATCTTTCACGATTTCTTGTGCCCTTTGATGGAAAGGAACTAAAAGCTAAAGCATCATAACTACTTGAAACCTGGGAAGCAGGGAGGACATTGTAATCAAGATACGAAAAAAAGTTCGAAGGCCAGAGCAAGACAAAAGCACCAGAAATTCAGCAATAAAGATGGCAGCCATTTGTGCATGGATTGGTAAAATTTAACTCCTTACCAGTAGGAGAAATATTTTCTCTTTTTTCCTTCATCTCCTTTATTCTTCTTTCCATTGCACTGTATTGATCTTTCACCTTATTAACAGGGCTGTATACAAGTGAACCATTGTCTTCAAATAATAGAACTGGTACATCAATTTCTATACAAAGAAATTGCATTTGTACATTAGTATTTATGTGCTATAACAATCTCAATTTTTTTTTCCCCCAAACTTGAAAAAAATAGGTTAGTTTGGTTCTCTTAACATCACTTTAGATGCCTTAATACTGCAAATTGCAAGAACTCTGTAAAAACTAAGTCAACTTTGTAAGTAAAAACATACTTATAAAAACATAGAAGTAAAACCAAACAAACCCAAACCTAACCAACCAAACACACAAAACAAAACCCCATCAAGTATTTTAAGGAAATAACTGAAGATGTTTGTCTAAGGTAGCTCTTACCAGCATTAACTGCTATCTTCTGTATGGCTAATTCTTTAGCCATCTGGTCCAATCTTTTCTGCAACTTTCTATCATTTTCTGGAGTTTTTTCAACAAAGTCTTTCGGCTGCATACATTTGTGCTACAAGACACACAAAGCTATCAATTATATGGTATAAAACTGCCAGAAATAACTACACCTCTTATTCGCTTACCACTTTGCCACAGTATTTATCATCAGTGTCTAACTATGCTTCCTAGCGCTTCCTTGAGAGTCACAGGTAATAGCAGAAGTTAAAGTTCACTTTGGAAAATGTTAATACAAAAGAAGAAAGAACCTAACAGATTTTTTTTCCTGTTAGATTTTATTAAAAAGCAGACTAAATAACCATCTTTTCCTTTTTTCTTGAAGCAAAGCTAAGGCTTGATTTTTTTTTTTTATAAATATCAGTATTTTAGCATTTGTGCATGCAACTCAGTGAAACATAAACCACAACAGTCATGTTTTTTTAATTAGCCATTATGTCATTTTAGTTTAAACCTTAAGTTATTTATTCATCAATACAAAAAATTTTATTATACTTTCTTCAGATACCACATCATCACAGCCATAGCCTACCTTTAGAAACCTACTCAGACAGATACATAGAGCTTACAGAATGTCCTGGTAATGAGGAATTCAAATGCCTGAGGTCAGGAAGTCAAATTCAGACTTTAAGGTTTACTACACTAGGCCTATGAAAAAAAAAACAACCAAACCCACCCATACCCACATACTCACTTTTTTGACTGGTTGTGGCAATTCTTCATTAGCAGCTACCACAGGAAATAAGGCTTCATCAACATGTACTCTAGTTTCTCGACACCTGCATAATAAATTAGAGCAGCTGTGTTTGTGTTTTTAAGAATGAGAAACTTTATTGCAAAAAGTCATCTGAGCTCAGTAATAATGAAACACCAACCTTTCCTCAGTGTGTATCTTCAGCACAAATACTTCAATGGGGGAAAAAAAAAAAATCTCTATATATGACACACCAAATATAGGACATATTTTTTTTTTTTGTCCTAATGATGCTCTCTAAATTGTTGTTCTGAAACTCAAAGATTCACACTCATTTTATTTTCCACACATTCAAAAATCATTATATTAAGTCCTCTTGGCCAGATTCTCATGAATCTCAAATTTACCCAACTTGGGAGGACTGTAGGTTTTAACTGTTCACTACCCAGCAACCATAACCTTAACTTGCCTCAAGTTGGTCACTGTGATGACAGTAAACTCCCAACTATAATCTGCAGAATGTCATGGGGTGGACGAGTCATCATCTGATCACGCCTTTATATCTTAGCCATAAGTCTCAGTTTTCTGCCTCCTCTGTGTATATGCAATGCTAAAACCAGCCCCTTATTGAAGGGTCATTTGTATTTATGCAAACTTTTTTAATTACAAAACCAATAATTCCAACTGACACCTTATCCCCTTTTTCCTGTCTTTTCATTTCAAAGACTGACTTGAGAATAGTGGGATTAATGTTACCTAATGAGAACACTAAGAATGATGTTGAGACAAGAATTTGGTTAATACATAAAAGTTCTTTTGATCAAAATAGATCAATACACTTTTATTATCAAACAATAAATAAACTAATTATGAGAAAGAGCATAGAACATCAATGGACTACACTAGTTTCCCCAGAAGCCATTCAAAACTGTGATTCTAGTGACACCTAGTGATCTAACTGCTATAAAGTTTGTGACTGCAGAATTATAATCCAATGCTTAGTTACTCAGTTTTAAATAAGAAGCCAAACCATTACATGTTTTTGTCAAACTAACCGAGTTTGAGTTTAGAATTCTCTGGAGCATCAAATAGAGATGATACTCAACATGCTGACCTTCAGTAGCTGTTATTAAATTCTGGATAATAATCAGCATAGATTTAAACTGCACTAAAATTTACATTAATTCAGAGATTTTTTTTTTTATTCAGAGAAGCTAAACATAATAAATTTGACCACTAAATATGTTATGAGCATTTTTTACTTTGCAGAAAAAACTGAATGTAAATGATTTATCTATCATGTTTGTGACATGAGTTACTGTACTAAGAATATGTCGGTAAAGTTTCCCAGTTATGGGTTAGATTAGGTATTCTTAATTTGTACATAGATTATAGTAATTCTATTTTATGTAGGGTTCTTTTTGTTGGGTTTTGTTTTTTGGGTTCTTTTTTTAGGTTGCTCATTGAAGTATTTCAATTAAAGTACTATTTTTTTTTTCAGTGATCCAAAAGCTGTCACTCATTTTGAATTAAACTTATTATTTATTTGCATGACTCTTAAAACAAGTCCACGATTATGTGCACTATCTTTAAAGTCGGACATATCTATAATTCTTAGAAAACACAAAAGGGAAACAACACATTTTAAAAAAATTAAGAACGTATTTACTCTAGAGTTGTTACATTTTTAGGAAATGCAATTGTCATCTTAAAAGAGTCTTCTTCCTAATCAAATTACTTCCTAGTAAACTGTAGAACTCCATTCAGTTTGGATTCAAATATATGCTTATACTGTGAAGCAGAAGTTTCCAGTAACAGTTCAACAAGGCAATGTTCACCAAATACTGTACAAACCATTATAAGGTGTTCTGGCTTTTATGGAGAAAAGCGAGTACTATAATATTTTCAGATCATGGGCATGTTCCTCTGAGAGGCTCAAGCACTGCTCAGGGGAAGATAAAACTAGTGGGCATGCATAACAGTTTGGAAGTAGCTGTTAATTGGGAGTATTTTGCACAAACCAGAACCACCAGGAAATGCTGGAGTAATTGCTTATGATTTGCTTCCTTGTCTGGTGTTTTTAGAGCTCAAACATAAAAAACTAGCATTCAGATTAAATACCATATACTGCAGCATCCTGTTTCCAAGACCAAGATTCCCAGAAGTATGTAAAAACATGAAAACACAGCCAAACATTCCCAGTTTACTTTGCTATGTTCCACAGATTTCTGGTTTAAAGATCATCAGATTCAATACTGTACATGTTTTTTGACAAAACCAAATATTTAATTGCTTCAGCATTTTTTTTAACCAGTATAAATCCTTGCCGAATATGTCTCTGCAACAAGGAGTTCTCCAGCCTAAACTATGTTTTACTAAAAATAATCATTTATTGTTTTCTGTACAGGTATAAGTTACTCCTGGGGAGATTCCAGTTAGATCCTAGAGGAAAATTTGTCACAACAGCCATTGGAATAATCTCCCCAGGGAAGTGGTGGATTCCCAGCATTGGACAGTTTTAAGATTCACCTGGACAGAGTGCTGGCCATCTTGTATAGGCTGTGCTTTTGCCAGGAAAGGTTGGACCATGATTGTTGAGGTCCCTTCCAACCTGGTACTCTATGATTCTCTGAATCTGTCTCCAGATGTATTCATGTGATGATTTCCAACTCTTCTACTGGAAAATAATGTTAATTTCTCACTCAGCCGCCTCATATGAGCCTTGGTGTTCGCAAGAGTCTCTTTCCCTCCCACATTTTTTCCAGGCTGAAGCATTCTTGTCTTCCACTGTGTCTTACGAAACAACATTCCAAGTGTGTAACCATGATAAAAACCATGTCATTCCACTACATGAGGTTTTATATTCTATTTGATTTATGACTACTGCTGAGGTGACAATCATATGAAAACATTTCCTGTGAGTCTCAAAATCTTAAATTTCCCCTCATACAATACAATCATCTTTCCAATATACTTAAGAGGATTTAAGATTTAAATAGTCTCCTTGATATCAGTAAGAATTTTAATCCCTTCACTGTCTTAGTTTTGGTGTTACAGTATGAACACTAATAGCATAGCTGTGTCTATACTTACAGGAAGGTTCTGCAAAATAATTTGAACAACCATCCACATGCCAATTAAGATCAAGCAATAACTAAAATACTTTGCTTTGCACTGTGCTCCAACAGGAGTCATCCAATCCCCAGTCTACACTAAAAAGTCATCCCTTAGTATTACATTGCCTAAAATTAAATTTCACAGCATTTCTGACCATTCTGAGAACATTCCACTTGCTATTGAATAGAGCAGCTGGTTAATCAAGCCTTCTTTTTTTAGTAATGCTAAAACTTCAACTCATGCAAATTCTGCATTATTTGCTTACAGTTAGCAGGTTCAAACTGAGCTTCCATTCATACAGAAACACTTTTTACTGGCACGTACTATACTCAGTCCTCCCTGTTTACGTTGTCCCAGGGTTTAGACTGTCTTCTGCCTGCCAAACCTCTGAGATGATATGGTAGGCATACATAATTTCAAGTCACACACTTCAGTTCTCTCATCTTACTACAAAAAAAAAAAAATTTGCATGTATGCTAACAGACTGATTTTAATTTTGTGTTGTCTATATCTCATTTGTGTAATTCCATGACTAGTGAGACTATGCATTACTTTCTCTTACGTAAGCTTTTACGACTCCTGACCCATACTTCGCTTAAGAATATGATACTCCTATGAATTCTGCCAAGAGTATACATCAGTCTAAGTTTTATATTCTTGTGTACCTTTTTTGCACTAACTTTAAAGGTAGGAAAGAAAGATTACAGAGAATTTCAATCAATCCACAGCTTGGGTCTTCCTCCATAATAATACACGCCTATTCCAGATGAATCCCCCGTTCCAACAAACTTGTCTTGTAAGCCATATACTAAGACGTCACTTTGTCCCATGTCAACTTCAGAAAAAAAAAATATGCTAGCCTTCTCTTTCCTACAAAAGAGCTTAAGTCTTTTTCTTTGTTGCTTATATACAGCAATAAAGTTTCTTGAGGCCTTTACACCTCAAGGCTCCATATTGTCCCCTACAGTATCACATATCTAGCTGTCCGTCTGAGCTTTCTACAGTGCTCATCCACTCAATACCTGCCAGTATTGCACAGGTTCCTCTTGTAGTTAAACCGCTGTAACAGAGAAAACATTCCTTTATGTCACATCCTAGACTTGCCCCTGGAAGGCGCTCTCATTCTTTTGTTGCAGATACTACTCACCTGGACTTTTCTGGGATCCTTTTAGCACATCCAAGTCCTCAAACAGTTTATAATTCTTATGACTAAGGTTTCAAATTCCATATTTATACATTTAGCCATGTGAACAGCATATTTAATTTTACAACCAAATATTCCTACTGAAATGACCATTTTCCACACACTCAGTGGCACCAGGTCCAAGAAAGGTATATTCACACAGACAGAATTTTGCACCACCCTCATATTTGGGAGCTTAAATATTTCTTCCTTGGTGTTAAAACTGGATGCTTCTGCAGAACTGCATGAACTTCTTTTTCTGATGTGTATCAGAAATTTTATGGTTGCACAACATTTAAGTAGCTGCAGAGCTCAGCTTTGCATCCCCGTTTTTTATTTTTACTTTTGCACTTAGCATACTTCTATCTCTCCATGCGTATTACAACTGGTATAGGAGAGAGCCTCTTTGCTTACATTCTAATTTCTATCATCACAGCAATTTACCAATTGGAGTGCCTAACACCCGCATGTTCTTAAACATGTTTTTATACTTCATCTGAAATCTAAATTTGGCCTCACAACCATTTCGTAAACTCAGAGAAGCAGCTATGGACTAGCAAATTCTCATGGAATGGCTGCACAGCTAAATTTTCTTGTTTTTTAGTTTAACTTTTTCCTGTATGGTAGTTGAGAATCTTCAAGCAGTGCTGTTCTGAATCTTCCAAACATCTTAAAAGCCAGACTACATGTGGATCTTTTTATTTCTTGCTAGAAGATACTCTGTCTACAGAAGCTAAGTACAGAAACAGTACAATGTCCCTGATGAACTGTGCTTTTTCAAACAAAAAAGAAAATTCTATTCAACATAAGCATCTAGTCTTCACTGCCTATGCATGTCAGCTGAGAACAAAGGGGTGGAACACTGAATGATTCTACTATGGAACTACCTCGCTGCATTCATTTTTTAAGAATTAACATTTTATCTTTTTATACAAGTAATATGCTCTATAATAGCAAAAATGTCATAGGAAACTTATTTACTCATAGATTTATCACTATTTCAAATAAATTAAAAAAGAAACAAAACAAAATCTGTACTTCATTTTTTAAACAATACTAGAATCCATTATTGCTGGAATATGTCCCATATATTCACAAGCACTCACTTCTCCACCCAGAGTACAGAAACTATTTTTACGCCCATCTTCTGTGCTTTTCTCCACGTAGCCAAATGTCCATCTTTGAAGACTACATGGGTCACGTGCTTGTTCAAAGTTTTTGAAACCTGCAGAAGTACAAAGAGAGCTCATCTTTAAGTCCAATAATCAGAAAATGCCAATAAAAATGGACTATGCTAGCATATTTCAATGTATAAACCATTAGCATAAAAACTTATTCTAAACATTATGTCAAGGACTCTTGATCTTTCTTATCTCTGCAAGAAGGCTCAAGCAAACAAAACTCAAATCTCATTAGCCAAGCCAATGCAATGCACCCTAGAGAGCTACAGTAGCTTCCTTTTGCTCTCAAACTTCTTTTTTCTAGGTTACCATTTTCATCCCCCTGCTTGCTCTAGTTGTATCACTATCTTGCAACATTTTTATTCATGTAGCCCAACATCATTTCTTGTGAAACAACTAGTACAGAAAGTAGTGGAAAAACGGATTCAGAATTTTATTTCCTGAAACAGTGAGCCAAGTCAGTTCACTATCTCAGTTCACTATCTCAGCCCAATAAAAGGGAAGCAAGTGTCTGGAATAACAAAGGGGCAGGACTACCCCTTTTCAGTCATGGGGATCTGCTAAATAGGCTCATCTGTATTACCTGCCAGCAACTTCCACTATTTCTGGCTACTTTTTAATCAACTCGAAGATTTTTGAAGCCTTATGCTTTTGCCATTTTCTGTGAGAAAAATCTAATATCAGAAGAGAATAACATAGGTCTAACAGCACAGCACAAAATAACAAGAAATAGTTTTTAAATTATTCATTGATATTTGTACTTGCTTCTATAATAAAAACAGTTATTCTGTTCTGTCACTATCTCAGCTAAATTCACACAGAAAGAGAGGCTTCGGGGAGATCAGCACAATTTCACAAATTACAGTAAGATACACCTACACACACCCAATTGAAAAGCACTGGAAGCTCATGCAAGTCTTATTTAGAGCATGATGTGGGCTGTAAAGATCTCCATTAACTGGTGACAATTTGCAAGAAGGGAAAATACCAGATTGATTTGGTCTCTGGTTGAAATTCCACAGCTGGCAATTGAACATATTTTGCACCTGCAATTCAACAATACTTAATATGGGAAAAAAAGACATACACTAACAGATATATTTTTACTAGCACTTTCTGGAGTTGAACCACATTTGTGGGAGAGTAACTGAAAGAAGAAAATGTCATGTTACTCGGATTAGAAAACATTTTAGTAACAATAGAGCAGCTGCCTACAAGTTAAGAGAGCACAAAACAACATAAAGTACATACTTGAAAACAGCAGGCTTTATAGACTTTGATTTGATTTGCCCACAGTATGTGGCAAGCCCAATACTTCACAGCAAATGCATGCCATCATATTACTATACAAAGAAGTTTATAGATACATGCAGGCTTTAAATACATTTCCCATCTGTCACTAGTAAGACTTTTACAGTGCTTTCTTTTATTCTCAGGTCTGCGATTATCCTTCTTCTTGCACTTAAAAAACTCATACCACAAAGAAAGATACCCAATAAGCAAAACGAGCAAGCTAATTTCTAATTAAGAGCCTTCCTATTCTGTTTATTACAAAATGGTTTCCTTACTTTTGCTCCCATATCAAGAAGTTGCTGTTCAAAGGTTTCTGAGTAATTTTCTGTTCTGTTAGATGACCAAACTTCTACAAATGCCAAGATACCTGTATCAGACAAAAGAAAACAAACAGCTAATGAAGTATACCCTATGATAATATTGGGTAAACTGCCTTTCCAACAGAATTTTGCTTTCATACATGCTGCATTCAGTAGCAAATGTAGCTTTTAATAAACTGAGTGTCAGATGGTAGCAGCAGAATGCTCTTTTTAGAGAGCTTCTGTCCCTTATAACAGTTGTAATAGAATAAACTTAGAAGCTTGACACTACTTAAACAACTTTTCATTTACTCCATTTAAAATACACTACCAGCTTAAACAAGAAATGCAGTGCCTCTACATGACTACTTACTCTTATTAATCACTGCTCCTCTTCAGGTTAATAAAAAAATTTAAGACAACTTGATATAACACAAGTTACAGAATACAACAAAACAAATATAATGGAATTACTCCCTCCCAAAACCTGCAGAAAACAGCAAAAATATTACTTACCATTTTACAAATTAGTCCAAATTCCACCTTGTTTATACTGGATCACCACAAATTATGTACATATGACAGGAGCCAATACAATTTCATTGCCAGCTCTATTATGTAACTTTAGGTATATCACATTTAAGTAGCTTCCTTTATCAACCAGATTAATAATCTCTTCAAGGAATGAAATCAGCTTCAGTTGAGGTCTTTAAACAAACAATCCCAGAAGTAAGGACATGGAAGGATAAGCAAATGAAACTCATAACACTGATTTTACTTAGGATGTACACTAAAGTGATCTACAGCTCCATTAGCCATGCTAATTTCCCATTTTGAGTGGTGAGTCAGTAAAGTTCCAGAAAACTGGAAGAAGGCTGGTTCACAAGAAAAACACTTTACACAAACTGCAGGCCAGACAACTCTCAGAACTCATGAGTAAAACTGTCAATTTAAAAAGGTCAGCCTTGGCAAGCATTGCTTAATTATGTTGGTTACTATTTATGTCCTTCTGATTAATTAAGTAGTTTTCATCTGTTTTCTTTCTAAATGAAAATCTGAATAACTCTCCAACAGTAGAAGCACTTTTATAAAGATTAACATATTTTTGTAATTTCTAAAAATAGTTTTAACACACAAGAAATATGGAATGCAAACCACCTCCTTAGCCAAGCTATGTGGAAAAATCTTACTATAAGTACTATGACTTCAGATATATATGGGAACTTAACACAAGTTGACTCCAATGTGCTTTTAATTGTGCTCATTCGACTACTGGACCAAGACGGCTTTTGCCATATTTTCTTTTTGTCTTGATTGTTCTACTGAGAAAAAAAAAAAAAAGGACTTGCATTTGAAAAG